TTACCAATGACAATCCTGATGGTATCCTATATGCGTTCGTAAGCTTGCTAAAATACTACTGCGTTGATGTCCGCTTGTAAAAGCTGAAATCCAACAAATGCTTTGATCCATGCTACATCTCCGTGTTGGAAAAGCCCTTTCATCTCCGTTCATGATAACATCTTACCCTATTCTACGCAAATCTGTCACATCTCAAACAAGACGCCAACTTCAAACGAAAACGCGTTCTACGATTGGTCTTTCTTTCTATCATTTTGTTTCTCTTCCGAGTGGTTTTTGTGCCCTATTTTTTTCTGTTTCTTCGTGGGGTCGTGTATACCGAGTTTTGAGACCACGGGCTCCCAATCTTTCTTTTTTTAGAGCTAATGTGAGAAACAACAACAACAACAACAACAACAATGCGCGGCGCCACGCCTTTCTTTCCACTCTCGCCCCCGCACAGGAAAAAATTCTGATCAACATTCCAACGATTTCGTCATCTTCATTTGTATCGCCCTTTTCACCGTCGTCGTCGTCGAATACTCTCGCTTGCTTGCGATTTGGGCGCCCGCGCCCACTAGGGGCGCGGGGGCCGTTCGTTCGTACCCTAGTAGTGTACGTATAGCTAGGCACAAGCAAGCACACATCTCGTGGCGAATCTCCCGCGAATCTCCACTCATCATTTAGACTAGATTATTTGTCACACTACTTGTACTCGACCTTTACAAACGAACACCGAATATGTTTTCATCATTATATTTTCACTCCATCTTTGCATAGTCTACATGTATGTATTTGAAAATGATCGTGTACCCACCACTCAATCTACTGTTGTTCTGTTCTATGTTGTGGCCACAATCCGTCACCTCTGAATGAACGGCGAGTAGGCACCTACGGCAGTGTCCCTCTTGCCTACTACTACCTCCATACTACAATACATATGTACATACACACAACAGTTCACAGAGCAGAAATTTACCAACACAACCCGTTGGAACAACTATTTATTGCATACACGGCACAACAGCAGTGCACAGTGTATATATATGCATACATTCATGCTTAAAGTAAGTAGTAGTGGCGCGGACTACCGTACAACGACAGCAATCTAATTATCGTGAACACAGCATGGTAAGAGCTTCGTGGCCACGTTTGCATGGTTCCCTTCCTCGAGGCCCCCCACACCCATCCATCCGGCAGAAGAAGAAGTGTTCGCCTTCTTCCACCCGGCAGAAGAAGAAGTGTTCGCCTTCTTCCACTTGTTGTGACGAGATAAGAGGAGGGCGGCAGCACTCTTTTCCTTAAAACTGTAGTCTATACACGACCTACTGTACAGCAGTCCATGTATTACATATACTCCTCCGGAGTATATAGATGGACAGCGCTACCCACAACTACTACTACAGCAGTATCTAACTTTAACGAGGACAACCTACTGTTTTCAGTCAGCAAGAAGACTCCAGCGAGGCTTGAGATCCGTACCTGGTGCAGAGAAGAGAACCACAGCTAGCTGCTGAAGGTACGTGTAGTAGTAGTAGGTTTTCGATGTATATCTCTGTTGTTCTTGTTGCTGCTGTTGCCGAGAGTAGGGATAGGAGGAGGAGGAGTGATAAGAGGAGGTACGGCTGTATCGCGTTCGATGTTGCCTGGCTGTCGGCCAGTTTTTCTCGTCTTCTCTCTGCAATATGAATGTCTCTTCGTCTACCACAAGTTCTTCATCAAATTCATCACTCATCAAGCCCATGCGGTTCCCAGTTAACGACATTGCCTCAACGGCTACCACCCAGTCACCAAGTCTATGGGAGTACAGTAGTACACTTCATAGCCACACCCCACAAACAAAGCCGGGGGATTCCCTGAGCACTCCCTGTTGGCACCATTCAGCAACGTTATCGCCCGTCTGTGTGGTGGGTCGTTTCTCTTGTTCTTCATACAGATGATATCAGATGACGAATCCATCTCTATCCGCAGAAAATAATCTGAGTCCAGGATAAACGGAGGTACTTAACTGTGATGTACAATTCTAATTCCCCGAGCAGGGAATATATATACATATTGTAGCGATATCTCGGGTGTCAGGCTCTATCTATCTACAAGACAGTTTGGTGGCCATCGTGTGCACCCAACTATGAATAGTCCATGTTGTGCTGGAAGATGTAGAACGAAGATGCTCAGGGAAACGTCGGGCGGTCAAGGGAGCGTTCCGCATGCCTCGAATAAACTTTCTTCTTCGTTGCCCACGTCACAACATTACTCTCCATGTTGACCCGTTTCCATTTTTTTTTTTCATCTTTCTTGGCCGAGAGGGTCACAGGGCTAACATAAAATCATTGCAATGAAAATCGGTTGGGTTCGCGGAGGTACTTACCTGTGATGTACAATTCTAATTCCCCGAGCAGGGAATATATATACATATTGTAGCGATATCTCCCCCCTTTGGGTGTCAGGCTCTATCTATCTACAAGACAGTTTGGTGGCCATCGTGTGCACCCAACTATGAATAGTCCATGTTGTGCTGGAAGATGTAGAACGAAGATGCTCAGGGAAACGTCGGGTGGTCAAGGGAGCGTTCCGCATGCCTCGAATAAACTTTCTTCTTCGTTGCCCACGTCACAACATTACTCTCCATGTTGACCCGTTTCCATTTTTTTTTTTCATCTTTCTTGGCCGAGAGGGTCACAGGGCTAACATAAAATCATTGCAATGAAAATCGGTTGGGTTCGCGGAGGTACTTACCTGTGATGTACAATTCTAATTCCCCGAGCAGGGAATATATATACATATTGTAGCGATATCTCCCCCCTTTGGGTGTCAGGCTCTATCTATCTACAAGACAGTTTGGTGGCCATCGTGTGCACCCAACTATGAATAGTCCATGTTGTGCTGGAAGATGTAGAACGAAGATGCTCAGGGAAACGTCGGGCGGTCAAGGGAGCGTTCCGCATGCCTCGAATAAACTTTCTTCTTCGTTGCACACGTCACAACATTACTCTCCATGTTGACCCGTTTCCATTTTTTTTTTTCATCTTTCTTGGCCGAGAGGGTCACAGGGCTAATATAAAATAGAATATTTTACGTTATCGGCAACAGCAACATGAGGGTTGTTTACCCTTGTGTGACGGGGTTTTCCCTGGATCTTCCGACTTTTTGTTTTCAACTGGGCGAAGGGACCGCTGACATCATCAAGGCTGCTGTGGAACAGACACACCTTTCAACCACCGTCTCCCGTTCTCTACACACACACCTACCTACGGTATCTCCCACATGCACACGAGTACACATGGTCTCATCAACACGCCACCCCCTTGCTCACACAAACGTTTGGTGCATAGCAGCAGGCAAACACACATCAGGGCTCTCATCGGTGACTGCTGTAGGTGCTGGGCGTGAACTGGGGGGCTCGATCGAGAGAGGCAGACACATTGTCTTCACCCCGCACTGCTGCTGCTGTGAACTGAACATGGCGGGTGTCCACATGGCATAGCTCTAGCGATATCACTGTCCGCCCGCGGCCGAGGCAGCACACCCCGCCCGCGAGGCATGGCACCTCCTAACGTTCCACTTTAAACGTTTCCAAATCTCTGTTCCAAATTTTGGGCCAACAGCAAGATTCTTGGGAAGGTCCCAAAAGAAAACTCCCTCTTCATGAGACGCAGCGCCAGCAGCTCTCACTCCACGATTGCCTCCAACAGACACCACACCCCACAGAGGACAACGAAACATGGACAACAGCATGGAGGCTACAACGACCCAGCGTGGTAGGCAAACCAAAACCCCGGCAAAATTCAGTCAAAACGGCTCGCTTGGAGCCGCCGTAGGCGGTGGAGGCTTGCTGCCCAGCAGCCAGAAGCTTCTACCCGGAATTACAGGAGGCGCTGCCGCCACCAACACTCAGAGCGAGGGTGGAGCTGGCCGCCCCCGTAAGGTGGCGGCCACTGCTGTTCCTGCCTCCTCGGAAAATGGAAAGAAGACAAGAGTCCAGGAGATGGCGGTCGTGATGCAGGACCCCGCTTTTGCTGACGGCGACGATGAACAAGCGCGAGGCAGCGACGACAGCATCGATGTTGGGAGCGCCAGCGAGGATGACTCGTTCACCATGGATCCGGATGGCGACCTCGAGATGGGCAGGGGGAGCGGTGGCGGCAGCTCGAGGGAAAGCGTTGGCGGCAGCTCGAGGGGAAGCGATATCGGATGCTCCAGGGGAAGTGGCAGCTACGTCGCGTCGGCAGGGGCACCGGGGTCGGCGAAGACCCTCCAGGCGCTGCAGAAGTCTATCGACCGCAACCGCACCAAAAGGGATGAGAAGTGGCCGGCGAGCCTGCTGAGAGAGGCGTGCTCGTTGCGGAAAATCATGGGCTCCTCCAAGGAGAAGGACACCGAGAAGATGGCTAGCAGGTTGACGCAAGTCGACCGCCTGATGGAGGGGAGCAGCCCTTTCTTCGCGGATCTGGACGACAAGGCCTGAGGCCGCAGGTGATTGAAGAGACTGAACGTTTGTGCGGTCCTCGCGGCGCATCTTTCCCCCTAGTCTACCACTACAAGTGCTGCTGTCATGCTTAGATTTCTTGTCTGGCCTGTTTGCTCGAATCTCATCGGGCGGGTTTTTGAAAGCTCTCTTGACTACTGTCTACACTGCCGTTTATAGAGGTACGCCAAATGCTTTGTCACCACGTCATGGGGGACAGGAATTTCGATGAATTAGATTTCATGGCTTCAGCTATTTTTTGGCCGATGAGCATCTTGCTGTAGGTAAGTAGATATTGCGTGAGAACGAGAGAGAGGGAGAGAGAAACACAGCAACAGCAGCAGCAGCAGCAGCAGCAGTTTATCGGTTGTGCTTGTATTTTTGGCCGGATGGTAGACAGGCTCTGCTGTAGGTAGGATACGTACGAGAGAAGGCGCAAGAACAAGAAAGAGAGCGAGAGAAACACTGCTGGTGAGAGCATGTGCGACGGCGGTGCTGAAAGCGGGCGCCGCGTTTGTACCAAGCGTTGCGTTTGTACCCAGCGTTTCACAATTTGAATTCGGGACCGCGTATCGAACAGTCATCATACCGCGCGCCGGCGGCGCATGTTGCGAGGCATCACAAGTGTAGTACAGTAGTCGTGGCATGCTGTAGGATCACAAGTACTTACCAGTCGTGGAGCTGATGCAGCTCCGGGCCGTGTCTGTACACCAAACCACCCTTCAGTTAGATGAGAAGTATACGTGTGTTTGATTCGTCCTCTCTGAGAGGGCGATGAGCGAGCTGCAGCACGGAAAACAACCGCCCCTTGGTCCCCTGCACATGAGACGAAAAATAAATGTATTTTCCGTTTCAGCAAGCCTGCAACCCCAAAACACGCGTCGTTTCATTTGCTCTCCGACATTTACGTACATCAAACTTCGTAGTTTGACCGCCCCCTCCCCCTCCCCGCCCCCCTCGATCCACGTGCGCGTCACTTGACAGGCGGAACGCCAGCCTCCCAGCCACCCGCGTCGGCGAAGGAGTCCGAGAAGATCCCTGAAGAACTCATCCTCGCGACGAAATCTGCCGTGGACATGGGGGCGAGCTTCGAGAAGAGGAAGCTGCTGCCGTGCAATGGTAGGTCGTACCCGGCCGCCGCCGTCTTGGCTGCGATCGAGGAGCTCAAGAACGCCGAAGGAGGCGTCGAGGACATCGGAGCGCGTCGAAAGAGCAAGCACTGCGTCCCTCGGTTCTGTGAGATGGTGGCAATGAATCTCGATAAGTGGTTTAGGCACCGGACACAGCTAAGCAAGGCAGAGCTGCACAACAAGCTGACCGGCAAGACCCGCCCCGCCATGGTAGAGCTTTGGGAAGAGTTCAAGGACCGCAAAGTGTTGGTGAGATATAGTGCATGTAGAAGCAAGGTGACTCCCCGGCATTTGCCCTCTGCAGTTCCATTGTTTTCGTTGTCTGTCTCGTTTATGGCGGCCAAGGGGCCAAGGTGACGGTAATGGCGATTCTTTGGTGGGATGCGTTTGGCATGGTGCAGAGCGGTCGGCGCACATGGAGGACGTACAAGCACCGCAGGAAAAGCCGGACACAAATGTGTGCACCTGNCGATGCTTTGGTGGGATGCGTTTGGCATGGTGCAGAGCGGTCGGCGCACATGGAGGACGTACAAGCACCGCAGGAAAAGCCGGACACAAATGTGTGCACCTGTCTTGTTTTGACGTAGGCGTGTTTGTTCCGAAAAGTAACCACACAAACGTGAACGATGCACACACCTCCTAATAGAACCTCGCGTGATTCGCGTGAAACCTTCAGGTGCCCTTCACCTTCGCAGACAACGACCGCGTGCTGGCCGCCGGTGTCGACCCAACGTCGTGCACCAGCCGAACATTACCTTCGACAAGTTCACCACGATGAAGAACGAGATCATCAAGGACCTCGGCGACATGTACGTCAACGTCAATAAATCCGGGCACCACGAAGAGATGTACTCCTTCTGCAAGGGTAAGTGGGTTTCCTTTCAGTTTTTCTTTTCTGTTGGCAGGTCGCAGGGAACCCTCCCCCCCCTCCCCCGTCGTTTGTTTCCTGTGGTATGTATTGGAATGCTGTGGCAGTCCAGTAAACGTGGTTCATTGCAGAAGAACCATAGCACTATGGGAAACCGGGAGCCCGTAAATGTCGTGCCCCGCCAGTCGTTGCGCGTTCCGGACTTTGTGGGTGCCTTCACATCAGTTGTTCATTTGTTAGCTACAACGCGCACGAGCCTATCTCCTGGAAACGCATGAACTCCCATACAGCACCTAAATGTACTGGAGTGCGTCAATTTTGAATGGGGCGGCATCGACCACTCTCCCCACTCTACAATAGTGAAGGAATCCAACCATATGATGAAGGTAGACCCACCACTTACTTCCTCCGCTAAGCCCAACCAACGTGCGGCACCGTTTTGTGCATCGCCGCTCAGCGAAGATACGGTGTTGTCCATAGGCTTGTGCGTGTTTCGTTCTTTGTTTGGTGTTTTGCCTTGCCCTCCCGGAAGCGAGTTTACTGGGACGGGCAAGAGACTCCCGACGCAGGAGAGCCCCGAATCGAAGACTATCATGTCTCTTTGGCTTTCTTTCGTTCTTACGCAGTTGAAACTGGAGAAACACCTCAGGCTCCAAGCACGTACCAGCTCACCCCGACCCCCCTCGCACCATGACTATCCCGCGCTGACCGCACTACGCAATACACCAGGAAGCCTGGACACGTACTACTACGGCCTGATGTGCGAAAGGTACCCTGGGATCGAGCAGGCCAGCAGTCAGATGCTCCCTGAAGGCACGGAAAACGAAAACACGGGGGTGGGGGGGGTGGCAGACGAACCGACAGGCGCCGAAGGAGCCGCGGCCGACGCCAGCAGGAGGGCGGGGGCAAAATGGGACTCGACGGAGAGGGACGCCACCCTTGGCGTGCAAGAGAAGAAGAAAAAGAAGGAGAAGGAGATCGAGGACGCGGCGAAGGTCGTTGCCTCAGCAGCAACGGAAGAACTGGGTCTTGGGGCGGGCTTGGCGTCGCTGCTGGGTATGCCTTCCAGCCCCAAGTATTCCGACGCCCCCACCTCCTTCTACGACACCATCGAGGGGTGCGAGACTAGGAACAAGAAACTCGAATACTCCGCTCGTCTCCGCCAAACACTTGCGGACATCAAGGAGGACATCAGGAAGGAGAAAGCGCGGGGTTCAGAGCAACTGTCATGATAGGAGGTGGAGATGTATCGTTTCGTCGTTGTGTTGCATGGTCGGTCATCTGAGGTCGCTCGCCTTCTGTTTTGTACGCGGTATGATTACTAGTTCGGGTTGGGCATTCGGAAAATCGTCATGTACTACTATTCTTCTTCATGTAGAGATAGTGTCTTTTGCGATCATGATTCCGCTTCATGAATGAATGTTGTGCAAGTGAATACCGTGGATTGTGTTTTCTGCAGCTCCCTGCATACGCAGGGCGCGACGGACAGTTTATTATTTTCTTGTCTGGCACAACGATTGTTATTTTGCCGTGCCCACCGACCCGAGGTTAGCTCCCGTGGTTTGTCGGAGCCATCCTTTCCATTTCGGCAATGGCATCTACATTACGCGGCTTGCAGAATTGTAGCGTGCGTACAACGTCCGTGCTGTGTGTTTTTGCTGGCGGCGACTGGTTGCCTCGTTCTGCCATTTCTTTTTTTGGGGTGTTTTTGTTGGAGGTCGTGTTAGCCGCTGCACGGAACGCGCCGATGTTGTCGCTTCGGCAGGCATGTAGCTACTCGACGGTTGAATACAGTATCTAGTGTCTTTTGTTGTCTTTCAACAGCAGCGGCTCCACAATAAAAGAAAAAGTGTACTCCTACAAAAACAAACTGGAAGGTCAAACACACTACGGTGCCAGATGGCACGCATGCTTGATCCTCACATCGTACC